ATTACGAACGCAGCCCAGTTTGCTGCTTATGCGCTACTGTAGTTGTAGCCACTGTTCTTGGCTGTTACATCATCAACGCCATATGAAATAAGTAGACAGATCGAGTCTCCGTACCATGGGCGGAACACTGCGCAGACTAATCTTCAGCACATCTGCTACTCTCTCCGGTACGCATGGAGTGGGTAACAGGGAACCGCTGTTTTCATTATTTCCTGGATATACTCTAATAAATGTAGCACGAGATGTCGGCGTTCTCCATTGATCGTATGTCAGGGCGTTGTACAATTTTATATTGAAGATTGATAACAGGATAACTAAAATTGCACGCCGAAGTCAAGTGAGTTGTCACTCTGACAAATATGATTGAAGGTCACTCATACGTAACCACAAAGCTTTCGACATAAAAACTAAAAAAAACCTATGTCTTTGAGCTTACCGAACAAACGTTCAAACACTGGAGTAGATTTCATGTTATGAATGAGAGAGATGGAGATATATAAACGGATACTGGTAGCCTTATTTTGACCCACCAAGAACGGCAACTAAAACTATATACGTTTTACTTCTTTACTCTAGTTCAAAGTTTCTTCACTATCACAAGTTTTTTATAGAGGGATCATAAAATGAAGGGCCGAACTATACGGGGTGGAGGTAATTTTTTTTCATTAATCTGCCTTGAGTATTGCTCACATATTTGGGGTGCTGCCGCCCTGACAACATTACCTATGCTCGATGCTGTTCAGAGACGGACAGTCCGACTGAATGATGACTCTTCTCTTACCGGCAGTCTCGGGACCCTTTCGCACCGATGGGCCTTCGGCGATCTGTCTCTCTTTTACAGCTAGGTCAATGGGCCTTGTTCCCCAGCGCTCGAACTTTGTACATTCAGAGCATGACCGCTCCTTTGCCCGTAAAGTCTCGAGATTATGGAGCAGTCTGCCTGAGGAAGCTTTTCACAGTTCTACTAACTATATGCAGTTCAAAAATCGGATTAACAATGTGTCTTTAGGCGTATGCTTTCGCGGCAGCTTCAGTATAAAAAAGAACTCGTTTAAAGTTAGTAAATACTTCACTTTTTAAAAAATACCTTACCCAAGAGAATACGGAGCCGTTCCATTGCTTTTGATACATAGTTAATGGAAACTTGAGTGATTGCTCTTTTATGAAAAATAGGTCATAGTAAAGATAAACAGGTGGTGGAGGTTGGCAGTAGCTCATAATATCTAGTATGAGAGCGCTGTAGCCCCTTAAATGCTTTTATATGATCAGAACACTTAGCTGCACAATATAACGCATCAGAGCCCTAGCATAAAAACTTCCTGCGAGGAAATGGAAAAAGGTGCCCATAAATTCACAATTTTCCGAAAATTCATCGAAATTGATATTTGTTTGTCGAGTATGCTCAAGCTATACATCTGTATGCCGACTCTCAGAGTATAAGGAGGACCTTTATATTCCCTACGACGTTTTTATATCCTTCAACCAAGTGCTTATTGTGCCTTGCTCCTCGAATTTACAGTACCCAATCCAGCAGTCTGGTGTTCTTTACCAGTTGGTACAGTTTTCCTGCCGGCACTGTTCTAAACTCCCACGGTTCTAGTTTTGGTTTCCCGAAGAGTTGATGTCTTTTGTGATCCACATAAGACATGTAGGGCTGATGATTTTGTTCGTTTATCGCATTGTCGACAGCTAAAGTCTCCATCGTATAGCCCTATTTTTCTCAGGTATTCTTTCAGGTAATTGGGTCCTATTATAAGGCCTGTAACTGCACCGAGCTGGTTTCTACTCATTAGAAACGGTTCCACAGCCTTGTTTGGACATGGTCCCGGGATGCATTTTTTTCAATTGTAGGGCGCCTTTATGGCCTCCTTGATTGTCATAGTTTTCTACTTCTCCCTGTCAGAACTCTATTCTGAGGTTATGTCACAAACATCTCTTTGCATCAAATTGTGCTTGCTTTTGAGTTATATCATATTTTATCAATCTGAAATTTCCTACAATTTAAAAAGAAAACATATATTCACAATAGGAGAGCGCTGATGCTGACACTGGACAAGTGTAATCTAGAAATTTTTGATGGAGAGAAAGGAGTATGATAATCAAGGAGGCCATAAACGCGCCCTACAATTGTAGGGACGACTGACGATACGGGCCTTAGTGCCAATGTCCTTGTGCTGGTTTCTTACTTATTCTTTGACTCCGTTCCTTATTGTGCTTAGTGGAACCTCCAAGGCAGGTGCTGGGCCTGTATTGCTAGCTCATCCGCTATTTTATTTCCTGGGTTGCCTGCATACCCTGGCGCCCACATCAGAGTTACTTTGTTGTATTCCACCAGTGTGTTCAGTTCTTGTTGGCATTTCCAGATCACTACAGATGTCACTCTAGGACTTCTTAACGCTATGAGTAATGCCTGAATGTCCGTGTATGTGGCGATACTATTAATGTTATACGCTTACTCATTATTTACTCTTGCACAGTGCAAGATCGCCTATACTTCCGCCTGTAATACAGAGGTACACTATGCCTAGGATTGCACCTGTTTCCAAATTTTAACTCGTCAGTGAACCGGGTAATTTCCCCTTTCAAGTCGTGCCTTTGGTATTTCGTCCGATCTCCTATTTTTTTTTCTCAAAGTTCCTTCAAAATACAAACCTGTGAACTAAGTGGTCTTTCCTCGCATCCAGCCTGTAACTATAGCCTATTCTCGCCTCCCCCATTTAAGAGACTTGCTTGTAATTTTTTGCTGTACGTGAAAAAAAGTGCTAGAAGTATTTAAAAAAATTGCGAACCTTTTCCGGGTCCCTGATCGGTCGCCACTACACTATATATTTGTAACATGTATTCTAAAATCGTTACAAGATTATGAATATATACGAGTGTGACGAACATTAAGCTTATCTCCACGAAGTATCATGATCGATAACTGAAAGCTTGTTCTCACCCCTAAAATACGGGAAGGTACACGCTATAACTTATTCCATTATGCATAATGAAACGCCCTTATCTGTTTTCCCTTGTTATTAAGCAATGCTTGAGGTATGCATTAATATGTATGGGCTTATCTTTATACTTGTAGCATTATAGATTCCAAAAAAGATTTCAGGAAATCCGCTAATCTCACTTCACTTTGTGAACTTAATTAAAAACTCATATTAATTATTAAGTCAACTTCGACGGATTGTTCACGTCAGCCAATGGACTAATTGACTGAATTTGGTATAATTTGTAGTTCACGCCTTACTGAATGTTCATCATGTGCTAACGGATATAAAGACGTACAACTTTGAAACATATAACAAACACGACGTAGATCCAAATTTGTTCCATCGTTATAATATCGTATTTCACCAGAGTGTATCCAATTCAATTCAGTTGAAAGCCGCGCTTACATGAAAATACGCGTACGCTTAAACCTAAACATATACCTGTCGACGAGCTTCTTTAAGTATCAGCATTGGCCCCTATCGGACTTTTTCTGCATGTTATGTGACTTGCTTTTCCAGCAATTACATATATTATGTTTTTTGGATGTTATATGACATATAATATATCACGAAAAACCATGTCACTTATTTCTGTCGGTCTTTCCGTCTGACTGTCCGCTGATCCTTGGCCCGTCTATAACTTGGAAAGTACTGTTCGGATTTTGATGTAATTTTCAAGGGTTATTACGATGCCAAGGACCGAAAATCTCTGTAGTCTTTAAAAATCGGTCCAGTTGCGACAGAAAAAGTGTAAAAAACAAAAAAAAATCAAAAATCACTCAAATTTCGGTTTTTGACGTTTTAGAGCAGTGGTCGCCAATCTTTTCAGTGTGCTGAGCTACTTTGATTATTTTGAAATAAACAGTGAGCTATCTAGCCGTAAGCAATGTAAGCCAACTTAAATGAAATGTTGTATCCGACATATATGTGTTTATTTTACTAATACTATTACATACTAATAACTAATACATACTACATAACCACATACATTCGTACTAATCGTAGGTTTTTGAATAATAAACAATGCCATGACACATAAAATTTAATGAAGGTAACTAAAAATAAAAAAAAGCAACGCACTATTTTAAACAAAAACATGTCCAGTTAAAAAATGGGTGTTCAAAGAGAAGTCTGACACTCAGACTCACTGACAATTTTTTTAATGTTTGGGGTATAATTTGATACCGCCATTCCAATACAACTATCCAAATGTTCATCTGTAAGTCGATTACGGTACTTGTTTTTCATGAACTTCGTATTTCAAAAAAGATTCACACAAACAGGTTGAACAGATAACGCCTTTGCTTTCAAGGCAACACGATATAAAACTGAATATTTATCTTTACTCACTGAAGGCCAGATACATTTTGTATTTGAGACTAATGATTTTTTTAAAGCTAAATCATTTTGAAACGGAATCACTTCTATTTCTGTTGAAGCGACCTCTTCGCTAAAATTCTGCGTAACTGAAGTTTCAAACTGTTGGATATCAATTTCCATGACGGATGAAACAACAAATTGCGCCACTATAGCAATTTTGTTGAAATCATTGAAACAATCTTTGAAGTTACCCTTCAAGTTAGAGAGTATTTTTACATAATATTTGCCTCGAGATATCTTTTCTAAAAGGACAGGTATCGCCATCGATAAAGTCTTATTCCCAAAACTCAAAGCTTTTGGATACACGGTTTTATATCAGCAATGATTTCTGCTACTTCTTTGTCTCTCCTCTGAAGCTGCAAATTAAGTTCATTTAATTTTTCTGAAATATCCACAAGAAAACCAAAATCTCTAGGCCAGATTGAATATTCCAGTTCCTGAATCGGTTCGTCTCGTTGAACTATGGCAGATATTATATCATTAAAACTTACTTAACCATCGGACTTCAGAGTGAAGAAGTAGTTCCCCGTATTGACAATCAATTTCGTCGGCCAAGGTTCTGAATAATCCTCTATGTAACGCTTGAGCTCTCATCTTGTTCACAATTTTTACTACCGATATCATAACGTTGTTTAGTTTTAGAACATGTCCACATAATGCATGCTGATGGATAATGCAGTCGTAACAGAGAAATTGCGGAAAACTTTCCTCTTTACGACATAACCCCACGAGACCCTTATCACTACCCACCGTAGCTGGAGCGCCATCGGTTGTCAAGCCTACGATCTTCGCTATTGGAGTTTTCTCAGAAGCAATAATATTTTCAAAAGAGGAAAACAAGTCCTGCCCAGTAGTATGTCATTTAGTGGAATAAACTTGAAGCCTTAACTTTGTCGATTGTTTTTAAAAACATTGTCTGTAGTCCAATTGACTGATTTTGTAATTGTTTCAGTTTTTCCGTTCTAGTTGTAGAGCGTAATGGAAATACTTTTTCAAAATTAGAACGTACAGTTTTATAGTGCCTCTCGATATTCCCGGAAACAGATGTATTACATAACAAGCATACATGTTTACCGTTCAGTTCTGCAAAGAAATGTTGTTCTTCTAATTCCGAATGGAACTGGTATGTCTTCATCTTCTTACTACTGCTCATAATGTTTTTAATTGCAGGCCAACTCTAACGCAACCGCTGGACATTGTGCCGTTCAGTTTTAAACTGAGCGCACTATCGCCGCGCCTTGCGTATTTATTCGGTTCAAAGTAATCGAGATCGTTCTCGAACAGATCGCTCACCACAATGTTGCCGCTGCTTGTGTTTATTATGAGAATTTTCAAAATTTACGGAAGCTTCTATGATTTTTACACCTTTTTAAAAAATGTTGTGAGCAACCAGAATTGCCTTTGCGAGCTACCGGTAGCTCGCGATCGACGGGTTGGCGACCACTCTTTTTGGAGTATCCTGATCATTTTTGAAAAAAAAATAGGAGAAAAAATTGGACAGTGGTGCACTGTAGGAGGATGGATGAGGGCGTATCCCAATTTTTTAATGTTAATTTGTCTATATATGCTCCCAACCTGGATAATTCTACGCACCTAGACATATTTCACACATTACAGGTTTCCCCGTACATTTGCCGTTACAACAATAGAGAAATGCTTTCGATGCGTGTTCCTGCGTCTGCTCTCTATGTCCACTGGCGGGCGTGCCGGTCTTAGTAAATGTCCTGTCATTATTGCCGTTGTGCCGCGCTGCCTGATCTGACGCGTCATGCCGACAGTGCAAGGAAATAGTGTCTGACTAAGCGTAAGGACCTGCTTGACTGACTTGATCCGTTTAATTTCCTTATTACGGTGTCCTTTATTAAAAGTTGACAGCCTTTTATAGGAAGTGTAGAGTCAGGCTACTTGACGCCATTTTTGTGAAAGGTGCTTGTCATGCTGAAGAATAAACAAAGAAAACTGAAGAATGCTTTATTGCGTCGAAGGGAATTTCAATGATCCTGCTTGAAAACATAGCTGTGATAATTGAGATTGCGTGTAAGCATCCGACTAAAGCTTAGTGTTAAACATCTTCTTGGAGAATACGTTAATTAAGGTAATTACTGTCTCCCAATAAAGAGAATATGTAGCCAGTTAATTCTACTAAGTACTTCCCCTACAATCCTATTTCTTTGAAATTTGCGTCCAATTTAAATGACTCACGTAATCAGCATTTCTTTTTTTTGTCGTTTTTGATCCTCTTCTACTTCATAGGTGGTTTGTAGTCTGATATCATCTAACTAACCCTCTATCTACTATCTTTCGGAAGCGGCCCCAGAGGCTTTCCTTTGATTGTGTACAGAATAAACGCCCATTTAACTGTCAATCTCACAAAGGTCTTGATTGAAGGTACTTTTCTCAAAGAAAAAGATACATTATTCTCGTTGGAAAGGCAAGTTGTTGAATAAAACCATCAAACGAACCACCAATCGTCTTTGTTGGGAGAATTGTCTGAGGCATGTTTCGGATTTAGAAAAGTAGAGGGTTTGCGGGGTGAGAAGATATACATAACGAAGGAATAAATACAACTGGCAACAGAATAAAAACGTTAACAACAATAAGAAATATGCAACAATATTATTTCTAGACGACATAGTGTTGATATATAAGTACAAGGATCTCTAGGCGTAAACAAATTTAAGTCAGAAAGGAAGTTTATTCTTTGTTCACGTCAAGCTTTCAAAAAGCTTTCCTCTCTTCATCTAGCACACTACAAAGGCAATAATTATTATATGACAATATTGATCAAATACAGTATCATTTAAACACTACTTACAATTTTGAAGTATTCTTTTGAGACAAGCAATAAAAAACGAAGAACAATCATTGATTATTATTGAACAACAGTAATACTGCACAGGTCACAAATTAAAACACTGATCAGTATGAAACGTCAAAAGTGCGCTTTTCTTCCCGAGCTCAAAACCTTGGGAATAAGAGCCCTTCATTTCTCAATCTACATTCCATTGCTATTTACGGTACTACATTACCAAGTGATTTACGCACCCCTGAAGGAAAATGGGTATTTGACATAAAATTCATTGTTTCTATAATACACCCAGCGTGTACTGCATATGGCTTCGCCGCTGGATAATAATTATTGTTTTTTGAGAAATAAACAATTCTGTTAGATGTGGCATTAAGTTCTTTTGTTATATTTTTCATCATCCATCAATAATTGCGATTTAGTACTGTAGTCAGCTTTGTGCGGTGATGGTCACGTCAACGGTGACATTACTTTTGACACAACAATTTCAGGATGTTCTCCTAGAAAGGCACAATAACATGGAAAATGATCAAGAAGAAAATAACCACACTGACGTTCGTGAATGTGATTGGTTATCATGTTTGTGTATTGAGATTTAAAAATGTCTTTGTGATTGTTTGGAGAAGTTATAATGATATTTTTAATATCAGACAAAAAATTTGTAAACCTGTTTGAGCCATAGGCCGACAGAAAATATAAGGGTTGGTTAAATACTGACAGGAACCTGACGTTTTTGAAATGTACAGTACACAGTTATTTTTCACGGAATATTTTATTTCAATACACAAAATCGTTATGACATGCGATTTGAAGATAAGTATCACTTGTGGAAAATTACGTCAGGTAAGTGGTATCCATCCTCCTGAATGCACTGTTCCAGCCTTCCCCGAAAATTGGCCATCACACGCGTCATCAGTTCACCATCAATTGCAGTCACTTCTTCCCTGATTGCCTCTTTTAGTACTGCCAATGTGCGGGGTCTGTAACTGTATACACGTGATTTGAGATACCCCCACAGAAAAAAAGTCACAAGTGATGTTCAAGTCAGGTGATCTCGGGGGCCACGGGAAGTCGCCAAAACAGGAAATTAATCGTTCTGGGAAGATGCTTCGCAGCACTTGCATGGACACACCAGCAGTGTGTGCGGTGGCACCATCCTGTTGGAAATACATATTTTCCAAATCCAGTTGCAGCCTGCGCAGTTTGAGACGCAAGAAAGCCTTTAGCATATGGCAGTAACGTTCGGAATTCACTGTAACAGTTGAACCATTCTTATCCTGGAAAAAATAAGGACCAATGATGCCGAATAGAGTTGTTGCGCACCAAACCGTTACACGCTCTGAATGTAGAGGCTTTTCGTGCACGATACGGGGATTTTCAACATCTCTAACATCCCCATCCAGATGAAAATGCGCCTCGTCACTCATGATAATGACCGCATTCTCATTGTCTTCCAAAAGCGCTTGCATTCGACAAGCAAACTCTCGCCGCTGCGCATAATCTCGTTCTTCAAGCTTCTGAGCAACACACAGCTTGTAAGGATGAAACTTTAAGTCTTTCTGCAAAATTGTTCGCACAGATTCACGGCTCATTCTTAGTTCGCACGCGTGTTTACGTGCAGAGCTCCTAGGGCTACGAATCAGAGCGGCTCTCACACGCTCGATGTTGTCTGGTGTTCTTGCTCCCTTAGTCGCACCTGGTGGCTTCTTTTTCAGAATAGATCCTGTTGTCCGTACTGAGAATCGTGTTGCGGCCTGGAACGGTTCCACAACGCCCACGATTGAAACGCACACGAAAAAGTCGCTGCACGGTAACAACAGATCCGCCATTCTGCACAAATGCGACATACGCAAACATGCGATGCTTAAATGTCCATCGTTCCATAGCTACTGAAACGGCATCGAATGGCCAGATTAATGGCTTGTAATTCGGCTCCTTACTCCTCTTACCGGCAGAGTACTCGCCATCTCAAAAACGTCAGGTTCCCGTCGGTCACCCTATAATGGTGACAAATAGCACAGTTGACGTTATTGTGATGTAGCTCCGCTTTCTGTATCAAAAGTGACGATATTGTCTACTCCGCTTTCACTTGCTTGTTGTGCAAGAGAAAACGTCCTTTTGCGTTATTCATTATCCACGTTCGAAATTACCCTCCGAAGGAAAAGATAGGTGAAATTAGAGGCATCCGGCCAGATGACAGTCCCACCAACAACCTTAGATTTGCTCTATCCAAAGGTAAGCAAAAGCGTCCATTCTTAGCACTAGGTCCTAAGCTGAGCTCCCGTGCTTGACAGAAATGTCTAGAGATACTTTTCTCTTTCAGAGAGTGTCTTTTAGCAATCCACTTCTGCGTTATCCCTCTTGGTTCCAATGCAAAACCACCAAACCAAGGATCCATACAGCTAAGATGGACGTACTATCGTCGCACAGAGCCAGCGCATCACTTTGAGTTTAAGCACCACCTCAATCCATCTGCAAGCCCACTATGCATTACGAGCCTCATTAACCTTGTACTAACATGCTTTCTCCAACACAGAAATAGACTAGCTAAGGTTGTATGAAAAACAGTCACCAATTGTCAAAAATGTCTGGATGCAAATGGACGTTATTTTACAAATTTCACCTACATAATTAGATTTTATATTACATGACAATTTTGTAGAATGTTTGTTTGTTCAAGTGTAAAATAAATTTACGACGATTTTTGTTTTTTTTAACACACTCATAGCTGGGAATTTGTCTCAAAGCATTTTACTTGTTGAGAAGTCGATATTCAACGTTAATATTCTATTGAAAATTCAAGGCGTTTATGTGTTTTTTATGCTTTATTCATTAATGTTATTTACTGATAAATAAATCATGGCCTTAGAAAAAAAATAATACATAACATTACGTGTGATGATATTGCGGTGATACACTTTTACGCACTTGTGACGCATCACTAGACTGAAAATTTCACTCTTTTCGAAAATCAAAGAATTCAATATGGCGGCCATAAGAAAAATTAAAATTGAGGCTGGTTGCTGGAAAACAAAACACGATTGATACATGTCATACATGCT